TCTCACTTGGTAGCCCAGGCTGGCCTCGAACTCACAGAGATCCGCCTGGCTCTGCCTCCCGAGTGCTGGGATTAAAGGCGTGCGCCACCACCGCCCGGCCCACCCCCGCTTTAAAAGCAAGCTCCACCCAGCACATTTCTCCTTACCTTTAACTCTGCTTCTCCCAGAGGCGGGTCTCTCTGCCCCCTTCTCTCCCTTCCCCCACAATAAACCCTCAAGGTGAGTTCCGTTGTATGGTATTCCCTTTTCGCCTCCGCTAAACTACAACATTTGGTGCCTCGAGACTCGGCAGGCTCTCCTAGTGGTTCCTCCGGCCCACTGGCAGACTGAGGCACCACTGGGACCCTGGAACCAGTCTACCTGTATCAGGCTCACATTTCAACTACCGATCGATCAATCAATTGATTGCTGGGCCCTCCATCCAACACAGGCATGATTGGTGAGTTCCCTTCTCCCGGTCGGCTTAAACCCTTCCCTGGACCCATAGGAGTGAGCGCTGACCATCCAGCACCTCTCTGGCATTCTTGGAGGCAGGAACCCCCAGTCATAGCCTTCAAGGCTACAGTTGGCCCCCTCTGCCCACAATCACCCCTGGCCGTGAGTGAGGCTTCATTTCATCTCTTGACCATGGTTCCTCGCCTCTTGGCCCTGCCAGCCAACCCTGGTACCAGGCAACCATGTGTCTTTTCGGGGCTCAGAGCCCCTTGACCTCTGCCCTTTGTGTGACTACTCACTAGACTGCGTGCGCCTTCTCATGCAGGAATTCCGAATTTCTGGGAGGCTGGAAAGTCCAAGCCTTTGAATCTTGGTTATTTGTTTGTTTGTTTGTTTGTTTGTTTGTTTTTTCCTGCCTCGTTCATGGGAACTGCGCCTCGTCGGTGTCGGTTTTTACAGCGCTCTTACCCTACCAGGAAAAGTCACAAAACATGACAGAACCCACTCACAAGAGTTTTATTAAGATAAGGGAGAGGGACAGATGTGCACCGGCCTGCAGAAAGACACGTGTGAAGGGGGCTGGAGAATCATGGCGACGGCTTACAAAGGCTGGGCCCCACTTGCACACACAGGCCCATGAGGCTCTTCCACACATGCGTGTAGATCACATGGTTATGTTGCGTGCTTTATGCAACCGCGTAAAGCCATGGGGTCCTGGGTCACACAAGACGTTTGACCCAGAAATGACTAGGTAGAAGTGACTAGGTCCCGCTGGGCATGTGCGCCCATGCCCAACCACGGGGGCGTGTTGGGAATTGCTATCAGGACCATAGGTCCAACCTCCCCTCTGGGATGCCTTTTAGAAAACCTCAAACCTCTACACTTCGCATCTGACTTAAGGGCTGCTAAACTTATTCTCCTTTGCAGTCAGATCTGGCCCCATTACCCCTTAGATAACCAACCGAAATGGCTGCCTGCCGACAACTTCGACCCCAGTATCGTGCGGGGGGGGGGGGGGGGGGGGGCCTTTCCAACTTCTGCCAGTGGTCATCGGGTAAGTGGAAGGAGGTTCCCTATGTCCAAGCCCTCTCTTATCCAAATCCTCTCTCTGTTCTTCCTGTTCCACCATTCACATCCCCCCTAGCTATGCGGTCTAAACCAGAGGAACCCTCCACTACTCTGGACCCTGCTAACAAACACCCACTATTTCAACCTCAGCATCAGCTGCTCCTTCAGCCTCCTTCGCCTCTTCCTCCTCTCCAGTAATGGGCCGCCGTTCTAACCATCCGACTCTCACACCCACTTTCACTCTCCCTGTTACTCACTCTTGAGCCGCTATGGGACCCCCTCCATCTCTCTCTACCCGTTCCAACCCAGCCACGGTTCTCCCTTTGCGAGAGGTTGCCAGGGTGGATGGACTGGTTAAGATGCATGTCCCCTTTTCATGAAGTGAACTCTCTCAGATAGGGGGAAAAAAACTGGGGTCTTTCTTAAACATCTAACTCTGCCTCTTTCATTAAAACATTCTAATATGGGGCTGGAGAGGTGGCTCAGCAGTTAAGAGCACTGGCTGTTCTTCCAGAGGTCCTGAGTTCAATTCCCAGCAACCACAGGGTGGCTCACAACCATCCGTAATGAGATCTGGTACCCTCTTCTGGCCTGCAAGCATGCATATAGGCAGAACACTGTATACGTAATACATACATACATACATACATACATACATACATACATACATATTTTAACATATCATCCCATCATATAGTCTTACTTTCCATAATATAATTCTAGCTAACAACCTACTTCCTGAGGAACGCAGGCAAGTTTGGGAGCAGGCTAGAGCTCATGCAGAGGAAATCCACCAAAGGACACAGCTGTGCTGCAGAGGGCCCCCAAGGCCCCCAATCGGGACCTCCTGATGGGACTAGAATGCCCCAGGGGGCATTCTAGCTAGAGATCAGTTTACAACCTGCCACCTGGCTGGTCTCCATAAGGCTACCCTTAAACTGGTTAACTATGAAAAACCCCAAGAAGTTGTCCAGGACAAACAGGAGAGTCCATCTCAGTTCCTACGACACCTCACAAAGGCCCTCTTACAGTGTACTGATCTAGACCCTGAAATCCCAGAGGGCAGACAACTCCTATTTCTTTTCCCAGAGCTTGCCCAACATTAGTGCCAAGCTTAAGCATCTGGAGAGAGGGAGCCTAACCCCAACCCCTAACCCTCAGCGCTGGCCTTTACAGTGTACCATGGGAGAGATAAAAAAAAAAGCCTGTAAACAAAAATGCCAAATGCTACCCAAGGCCATCTAATCAGCTTTGGTGACTGTCCAGGCTCTCCTGCCCCCTGGGGCTCAAGGACCACTGGGTCCCTGCTTCAAATGTGGTCAAGAGAGTCACTGGGCCCAGGCCTGTCCTAATCCCTGCAGGATACCCAGGCCATGTACAAGGTGCCATCAAGAGGGACACTGGGCTGTTGACTGCCCCCGCGCCCCTCATGGCATGGGGATATCAGACACAGACCACCCTCCAGCCAAGCTTTTAGGCCTGGCCATGGATGACTGAAGGGATCCGAGTTCCCCTGGCCTGACCAAGGAGTCATAACAGTATCAGGGCAGGCCATCTCCTTCCTCCTGGACACTGGGGTCACTTACTTGGTCCTGATGGAGTTTTGGAGTGCCACCTCTCCTTCTCATCTCCCGATTGTCGGGGTAGGGGGGCAGCCTTACCCACCTCACCAGACCCCACCACTCAATTGCATTTTCAGGGGTATCCCTCTCACCCATTCATTTATGATGGTGCCTACTTGTCCCATACCCTTACTGGGAAGGGATCTTTTAGCCAAAGTGGGAGCTTCGACCAAACACTGACCATTCCCCATCTCATTCCTGCATTGAAACCCTAGAGGAACTACTGCCCCATCCTTCACACACATCCTTCACACACACACAGGAGGGCACATTGCCTCAGGTCATCTACACCTGGTACACAGATGGCAGTCCTTTTTGCATGAGGGGACCCCAAAAAAGCAGGCTATGCCATAGTGTCATACTGAGGTGGTTGGGGCACAGGCCCTCCCTGCCCACACCACTAACCAACAGGCTGAACTAATAGCTCTCACTCATGCCTTCCAATTGGCACAAGGACAACCCCTAAACGTTTACACAGACTCCAAATATGCTTTTTTTGGTTTTTTTGAGACAGGGTTTCTCTGTGTAGCTTTGCGCCTTTCCCGGGACTCACTTGGCAGCCCAGGCTGGCCTCGAACTCACAGAGATCCGCCTGGCTCTGCCTCCTGAGTACTGGGGTTGAAGGCGTGCGCCACCACCGCCCGACTCCAAATATGCTTTTTATATCCTCCTGTCCCACGCTGCCATCTGGAAAGAGTGCTGGCTACTTATAACAAAATGAGGATCTATAACCAACTCAGGTCAAATTATGGCCATGCTAAAAGGCCCCCCCCCCCCCGTCTCTCCAAAGCTATAGGGTCTCATCAGACCAACAACTCCATCATCTCTAAGGGAAATAACGGAGCTGCCGAGGCAGCTAGAGCTGCAGCCCCGCCCCCACCCCCACCCCCAGCCCTAGACTCACCTCATGCACCACAGGGAACCCTTGCACTGCAACCCCCATCCCCACTGTCACCCCCTGAAACTTGACAAATTCTGTCCTATCTACACCAGCTCTTTCATCCTAATAGGTAAGATCTGACTTTGTCAAGGCCCACCTGCAGCCCACCCCCGAGAACTTACATTTCTTAAGAACTATCACTGCCTCTTGTAAAATCTGTCAAGTGTCAGACCCCCCAACTCCAAATACTACCGCCACCCCCTTTTCCTACCCACCATGCCAGAGGCTCCCTCCCAGGGTCTGACTGACAGCATGACTTTACCCACGTGCCCACAATCAGATGAATTAAGTACCTCCTGTTCCGTGTGTGTGTGTGTGTGTGTGTGTGTGTGTGTAGGTGAAACCAAACTGTCCCATTGCCATTGAACCACTCCTGTCCATCCCATTTCTTAAGTCTGAAAAGTTCAAAAAGTCAGTTCTGATACGAGTCTTAACGTTCCACTGAAAGCTCAAGATCTGGGCCTGGCTCGCCAGCTGCCCGAAGTCTTTGTATAGCTCTCCAAGTCAGAATGAATCTGAAGCAAAAAGCTCCAAATGCAAAGAGACCCACAAACAAAACTTGTTGCAACATACATCGCTAACATGCAACAACCCGGCTCAAACAGTCTCTGAAACCTCGCTCTCAGCTACAGCAGCACCTCCCAGCCATAGCCTACCACTAGGCAATTGGCCCCAGGGTGAAGGTGACTGAGCCACTGT